ACCCCTCCTGGCCCTTCCTGTCCGGTGACCCAACCTTGTGACAGGGTTAGTGGGGCAACCGGCCAACGGCCGATGCTATCGCTGCCGTGGGCACTGTTTGTCCAGGGAGGGGCCCCCCAGTCTCCTTTTAAAATTTTTATTGATTTTAAGAGAGAGGAAGGAAGAGAGAGAAACATCGATTTGTTCCACTTACTTGTGCTTTCACTGGCCAATTCCTGCCTGTGCTCTGATGGGATCAGACTGCGGTGTTGGGGTCCTGGGAGGACCAGGGCCTGGGGGCGCCGCTCACCCCTTCCCGGCTGCACAGCTGATGGGAAGGGCTGGGCGTGGCTAGAGAGAGGGCGGCTCTCGGAGGCCCGGGCCGAGCGAACACTACTCTGGGTTAGGAATGTGTGCCCCGGGGTTAAAGCTTCCTGGGAACTTCCCTTCCTGCAGTCGGTCAGACTGTGGGTGACGATGGGTCATCCTCCCCCACAGCCTTTTTCCGGGGGTGAGCATCTGCCGCTCCAGGATGGGGTTAAGGCTGACTCCTGGGTGCGCCCGCTGCCCTCCAGATGGGTGTGGGTCTGGCCTGACCCCGACCCGCTTTCCTCGCAGGCCTGTGCAGTGGCGCTGATGGCTGTGGGCATAGGGGCCCTGTTCATGTTCAATCAGACGGTCAGCCAGGGGACCGCCAGCTCCGTGCTGCTTGTGGTCATCATCGCAGTGGGTGCCTTCCTCTTCCTGGTGGCCATTGTGGGCTGCTGTGGGGCCTGCCAGGAGAGCTACTGTCTTATGGTGACGGTGAGTGGCCAGTGGGCCGGAGGTGTGGGCTTCTGGAAGGTCACCTCTGTGGCGGGGCTCAGGAGGTGGGTGGGCGCGGAAAGCCTTTGGGAGCGTTCCAGACACTGGCTGGGCCACAGCACGCCCTCACCCGGACTCCAAACCTGACTCCTGTCCTTCGTGCCTGCAGTTTGTCATCTTCCTGTCTCTTATTGTGCTGGTGGAGGTGACCACCGCCATTGCTGGCTATGTTCTTCGAGACAAGGTAAGCAAGGAATAAGGGGAGAGCCTTCCCTCAGAGGCTCTGCGGCCCAGGTACCCTGCATTCTGACCTCAACTTCCCTACTCCCAGGTGAGGTCGGAATTTAATAAGGACTTCCGGCAGCGGATGAAGAATTATCCCAAACAGAACCAGACTGATCTTTTCCTGGACGAGATGCAGAAAAAAGTGAGTGGGGTTGCTGGCATCAGGGGTAATGGAGGAAGAGGCTCTTATCTTCATATTGAAGGTGGAGGTTCACCTAACAACCTCCCCGTATCTCTTCTCCCCCAGTTCAACTGCTGTGGGGCGGCTAACTACACAGATTGGGAGACGGTCCCTCTTGAGCCCAAGGACCGTGTCCCTGACTCCTGCTGCATCAACGTCACTGCGGGTTGCGGGGTTAATTTCAAGGTGAAGGACATCCATACTGAGGTAGGGAGAAGGCTGAGATGAGATAGCAGGGCACTTGGGAAACCTGGGAAATGTTTCAAGAGACGAGAGGAACCAGGGATGGAGGTGGAGAGGGTTGGGACTCCGAGAAGTTGGGGATCAGGAATGGGGAGGGGATCTGGGAATGCAAGGGGTGGGGAGAAAGGTATAGAGCAGCAGTTCACAACCTGTGGGTCGCGACCCCTTTGGGGGTCGAATGACCCTAAGACCATTGGAAAACACATATATAATTACATATTGTTTTTGTGATTAAGCACTATGCTTAATTATGTTCAATTTGTAACAATGAAATTGGGAGTCACCACAACATGAGGAACTGTATGAAAGGGTCGCGGCCTTAGGAAGATTGAGAACCACTGGTACAGAGGGTGGTGAAGAGACATGGACACATGGGAGGTGGGAGGGAAGTTTTTGATGGTGTCCTCACCCTGTTTGTCTCTACCCTCAGGGCTGTGTGGAGAAGATTGGGGCCTGGCTGAGGAGCAAAGTGCTGGTGGTGGCTGCGGCAGCCCTGGGCATTGCCTTTGTGGAGGTGAGAGGCACCCTTGGAACTCATTCCAGGGCATCTGGAGAGTAGGGGCAGCGGGCAGGAGGTGCTCATCTGGGGAGGGGAGCCCTGTGTGTGTTTGGGGCTCTTGGGTGGTTGAGGGTACCTTGCCTTTCTGACTCCTCTCACTAAACCCCCCCTCCCCCATCTTTCTTTCTAGGTCCTGGGAATTGTCTTTGCCTGCTGCCTTGTGAAGAGTATCCAAAGTGGCTATGAAGTGATGTAGGGACTCTGGTCTCTTTAGCCCCTCATCTAGGAGAGAGGGGTAATATGCTCCACATTTTTCAATTAAACTGATCATTTTTTCAGACCAAAAAGACTGTTTTTCTTGAGTGATACTTTTTCCCTTTTCTCTCCTCATCCATCCTCCTGTACTCGGGCCTGCGTTCTGTTTGCACCTCCAGGAAAGGAAGGCCTGTTTTGGGGGGTGTCTGGGAATGGTTGGCTGGGCTGGCCGGGGAAGCGGGATTGGGAGGAGGCTGTGGCCCACCGCCCTCCCCATCTCCTAGTGTGCTGCTAGGCTCAGTACTGCAGTTAAACCCACAAAGGTCCTACATGGGAGAGGCCCGCCATGACATCTACCACGGACATCTCCTTGGCCTTCTGTCCAACTCGGGGCCCAGCTACTCCCTCCCCAGCCCAGGGGCCTGGCTCCTTTCAGGGTGGTGATGAGTTGCTCTGACATCTGTGTGGCCAGTGTCATCCATCTTGACTTAGACAATAATTTAAGTGAGTACTACTTTTTTTCCAGCCTAGACGTGACCCCTTCATACGTCTTTCCCTTGCCCCCCAAGAAAAATATATGAGGGCCATTCCCAAACGCTGAATTGCATTACTAGTATTACTCCATGTAGAAAGAAAGGAGACGTCCAATAGTGCCCTCCAGTGGCCATTTAGGTGCAGCTTTAAAGACCCAACTAGAGACGCAGCCCTCTTGCGCCCTCCAGTGGGTGTTAGTTATTTTGCAGGCACTGACAGCACTTAACGGAGCACCTTCGTTTCTGCTCATACACTTTTTTAAAAAAATATATATTTTATTGATTTTTTACAGAGAGGAAGGGAGAGGGATAGAGAGTTAGAAACATCAATCAGCTGCCTCCTGCACACCCCCTACTGGGGATGTGCCCGCAACCAAGGTACATGCCCTTGACTGGAATCGAACCTGGGACCCTTGAGTCCGCAGGCTGACGCTCTATCCACGGAGCCAAACCGGTTAGGGCTGCTCATCTACTTTTTTAAAAACACATTTATTGAGGAGAAACCAAGATGGCGGCATAGGTTAACGCCGGAGATTGCTGCCTCGAACAACCAATGCAAATTA